TGTATACATTTACAAAATATATTATAATTGTTTAATCAAACAAATTGATCGATAATTTGTTAGTTTATTCTGTATTACAAAAGAATTATATCAGAAATTCAACACATTTTCAAACCACATATGGTTTAAGGTTCAGAATTTGTATTGATTTTCTTTCGTACATTATATACAACACTATATTTTGCACTGAATTTACAACAGCTATAGTTTTGTTGTCAAAAATGAGTTGTAATTATACAGCAAATTACAAATTCATAGTCGACTATAATATCAGAGGATTTTTATGCAAAATATATATAATTTTGTATTTTTTGAAATTACTTATTATTTTGATTACACATATTTGATGTTATTTTAAGTGCAAATCATGTGATATTAATCATAATATTGTGTTGAATAACAGAGAGACATAACGTTTGACAAAGTATTTCGTGACTAAACAAATAAAAGCTTTATTTATAAACATTAAGACGTGATTCTGAATCAACACAACATTTCTTACATTTATATTTTTGCTGAAAATATAACTTAATTTACTTAATGTTTAAAATATTTCTTGATTACACTATTCCTAATGAATGTTATAATAATGTACTAATTTTCAGGCAAAATAATTATTGCCATACATATGCTGTACAAACAGTTAGTGAAGGAAACAAATTGAGATATTATATTATAACTTACATAAGTATAAAGTAATGCTTTTTGATATAAATCCTGTTTGATATATATTGTCGTTTTGCGTATTTCTATGTTTATGTTATGTTCATGTTTTCCCCAGTGAATTATTGTATGTGTTTTTTTTTGTAAATTCTGTACATTTCTATACATTCTCTGTATTGTTATATCAAAAAGAGGTGTATTTGAAATATGTTAACGCATAAAAGTAAAAGTGTTTTTGAAAAACGTATACATTTTCCACATATTTGCTCTAATTTATTAGATTTGCTGTTTTAATATGATTTTAATAAATTAAGTTTCATTTCATTAATTAATTACATTTTTATTTTTGGTTTTTTATTTCTTATTCATTAAACTGTTTATTAAATAAATCAAAAATGTATGAAAACATGGTTTTTATTTTTTAGTCATTTTATTAATCAAATTAATTAATATCCGTTTCTCTAAATTTAAATGTCAGACAAATAATGAATTTGTTTTGAGTGAAGACAAAAAATAACAAAACAAGAGCTAAGTGTTAGTGTCGGATGAGTTAATTGCAAATAAAAGTAGAGCTCATTATCAATGAGCAGAAAATTTGCCGGCAATTCATTTGGGAACCATTGGAACAGTTTAGGTAAAACTTTGGTCTCCCAGAAGTGCATGTCTTAGACGTCTTCATTAACGAATCAAATGTGCTAAACAGTCTCATAGTCTCTCTCTCTCTCTCTCTCTCGTATCGATTGTTTGCATAAACATAAAAATTATAACTTTTTTCTCTCACTCTAATATTATAATATTATATCAATACAAAGCAAATTCTTCATACAATTCAGATCTCTATTTAAATAATAGTATCCTTTTGTCTGTATTGTGCGATAAATACGTAAAAATGCATTATTTTATTGATTGAAAAACTGGGTTATTCTGTGCGACAGTTCTTTGTATATGACATGTATTTTCTTCTGTTTTGAGCCTTTAATTCGGCAAAACAGTTGTGAATGAGAGCTGAGGTATAAAACATGTATAAACAATACAAACCATACACTCTCGGTATATACCAGGGCTTAGAAATTTATTTTATTAGACATTTATATCTGTCTTATTTGTAATAAAAACAAATAAAATATTTGTACCCGAGTATCACTCCTAGCAATCTTTGCTGCCAACAACAAAAACAATATAAAATACCATTTAGTACTCAATTCTATACATAATGTAGTCTTGGTATTAGATGTATGCAATCTTATGCCATGATATCTGACAATATGTCATATTATATGAATTTTTATTCCCTTCATATCGACTCATTTTGTGTAGTATTTAATGCCTTTATATAGACTTAATAAATATTATTGTGTCGTATGTATGCATCAAATACTCTTAAATACAATTCAATTACAATGAATGTATGTATGGATACAAACTTACCTTATTATTTAAACAGTAGACAAAAAAGGAGAGACAAAAAATTTCCCACTTTATATAAAGAGTGTGTTTGACAGCAAATTTCACTGAAAACAAAGTGAATAGAAAACATATATAAATTATTTGATGAATAATTAAATTTTGTATAAAATTGTTTTTTATTAGACATAAAATTTATTCAACAAAACTTAAAAGCAAAAACAATTAATAATAATAGTAATTTATAATAGAAATAATTTGCATAGTATAGCAAAAAGACATTTATCATAATTAAATAAATTATAATAAACAAGTGATTTGTTGGCCTCCTTTTTGGGGCTAATTTTCGCAATGGATTGATGAACAAAATTGATGTCATTATTACTATTAGTGCCAAAACATAAAGACAACACAATTGTAGAGTCAATATGAGTGGAATATCGTTGCGGTTTCCGTACGAATCGATACATCATTTGAATTGAAATGTCATTTATTAGTTAAATAAAACAATTATTATTTTCTTTGTGTTTTTCATATGAATTGATGGGTCGATGGGTGCAAATGAGCGGTTCATTTATATTATCTGTATATACAATACAATATTTATATATAAAAGTATAGATTATATATTAATTTGAAAATTATTATAATTATTATTGAATATACAATTATATATTTATTATGGTATAAGCTCTGGTGTGCACACAATGCCAGTGCATTCAGCGTCTGGTATGCATTCCGAGCGCACCTTCTGGTAGATCACTGGTGGATGTGATTCAACGCAATGTTAATATACAGTAAACATACCGTACATATCGGTTATTGCGTTAATTTTTTGCCGTGACTTTCGGTTTTGTGTTTAGCATAATATACAGTATAGTGTGTGTAGTAATGTATTGCCCTCTCATCTCACGCACGTCTCTCGCAATTTATTGTAACATAACTTACATTAATTGTATTCCTCTTTTGTGAGTCAAACGAAAATTCAAATTAATTTTAGGCATATTTTTGCTGTTTTGTGTCGTCTCTGTCTCTTTCTATTTAATTAAAGTCATGTGTAATAAAAAAGTAACAAAAACGAAAAAATGGATCCAAAACTCGAGTTAATTAATGAGATATTCAAAGCTTTAAAAACAATTCTCTCTGTCTCTGTGTTCCGACTCCTGAATGAATGCCATATCGAAAGCATTTAATTAAATGTTTGACTTTTGGTTTTTGTTTTGCAATTGAGTTGTCAATTATAGCCAATATTTGCCGTTTCCTCTGCCGTATGAATAATTAATTCTCTGTTGATTTCCTTTAAGATCTTTCCGGCGGCTCTTCTATACCACTAGAAAGTTGTCTATAATTTGAGATTAGAGATGATATATGAGTCGTCAGGACTAGCGGTTTGTCTCGTATTTACGGACCTCTTGTTTGCGAAGACACGCAAAGGAATCTCCAGTTATGGATAAAAGTTATTTTCGCAATATTTTGTTGGAAATAATTACACATTTTTATCGTAAGACCTGTTGCGCGAAGAAGTAGTTCTCACATGACATACACAGCACATCGTCTTTATTATTAACTCATAGAATTTGTAACAGAAAAAAGTTAATTAAAGTTTATTCATATTTAATTCAAAACAGAAATAAATATATGTATAAATGTTGCGAAGATTGCGAACACAAACTGCACTTTGGATTCTGCGCTACAATTCCTGAATTCTTCATTAACTGTAAAATAAATAATTAAATAAATCGTATGAGAAAAAGGATGGCAACGAATCGGGAGTTAATTCACTTCAATAAATAATTATATTTATACGTGTATTACAGATGTTAAGACATTTGAGGATTGAATTCAATTAAAAATTAACTGATTTTTATATGGAATGCATGGGAATGGAGAGGAGATTCACATAACATACATATTATATACAGACCACACTCTATAATGCAATCTCTATTCTCGTGTCCATCAATTTCTCTTATAGAGCATAGACTGTATACGAAGTATACAATATGTATATAATATATAATTTATATAATAATTATAACGTAAAAAACATGCGAATTGAGAGAGCATTTGATGCAAACCTGGGAAATATTGGATCCGTTTTCGCATTTCGTGATTGATTTCATTGAAAACGACTAAACACTCAAAAATCGAGGCCTCGTTTCCGTACGTTTCAATTAAATGTCTGTCATTGATATAAACAGAAACACTTGAGTTATAGGCGCCGGTAGATGTCTGTTGGTTGGACTGATTCGGACGATATATGTCTAAACTCCGGGGATTACTGCCGTCCGGAGCCACTCTATATATGGTGAGCTCCGGTATGGGATACACTTCACTCACTTTGCACAACAGTTCCGACGCCGAAGAACTATAATGTTGTTCATCATTAGAATAGGAATCACTTGTGTCTGTATTGTCTGTAGCCGTGTGTGTGGTCTTGTGTTTTCTGAGGGCAGCGCTGAACTCTTTCCGAGTGACCGCTTTGTAACTAAACTCTATGTCTTTGGGTGTGGCTATAGATTGTGACAACAAAATATATTTCTTAATTAAAACTATACTCCCATTTAATTGAAAGCAATCGTCGCATACCATATATAATCATTGAGCCCTCTTTGGAGTCCTGACTATACAGCGACTGGACATGACATTGATATCTACCACTCAAGTCAACGGTGGGTCGCAATAGATTAAGAGCCCTGTATTTGATGAGTGGGTCGTTATTATTGACGGTATAATTCAGATTAATGCGACCCTTCAGTCGACTGGACGCGTGTCTCAGACCAAACTCAGCGATGAACTGATAGATGGGCTCCGGATCGTCGTTGAAGAACCACTTGACCACCAAATTCTTATCGTCTATTTTATCCAAAGAGTAAACGCAGTCCAACACCACTGACTCTTCGGTGCCGTTCCTCACGAGTCTGGGAATCGACATCTCTTTGATTTTCAATAAAGCGCTACAAATATCTGTCAATCAAAGCGAAAGCAAAGCAAACATTAGGTTCAAAGACTATATTTAATTAGTATTAAATCTGAGCCCTATATAAACTAAATGGAAAAATTCAATTTAATAACTAATCCTTTACGAGTGGTTTGGTGTCTGAGTTCTCATATAAATTAAATAACTTATGAAAATAAATATTGTTTGTTGTTTTGGCGCATAATTTACTCGCAAACGAAAAAGCACTCAAACGTTTTGTCGCTATAATTCAATTAATTCAGAACTCATGTTAAGTTTTGGATCAAAATTTGTTTAATTTAATTCATTAAAAGCTGAAAATACAGAGAGTTTCGCAGCACAACAACAGTTATTAATGAAATTCAATTTATTTATTATTTATTTTAATTCACGACTACTGTATTGAAAGAATAACAAATATTGAGAGATAGGAAAAAATTAATTTAAATTTTATACATCACTTCTGTGTGTGTCTCGAGTGTATTGAGTAAAAGCTGACAATTTCGTGACTGAGTGCTAATCAATTCAGGATTTAATTTTGATAAATATGTGCAAAAAGAGTAGCGCTTAGCATTGGGATGGCCACCCCCTAGCGGCGTTCAATTTTTAGTAATCTTTTAATTTTTATACAGTGTGTCGGGCATATACAATATACAATTTATCCAGTAAACTGTATGAAAATAAATTAATTAATGAAAATAGAACGCGTTCTGTCCTTGAACACCACTAGCTTAGCATAACGTTAATGAAGGGCTTATTAAAGTTTTTTTAATTGAATATCTTATCTCTGATATAATATTAGAGATGTGTTCACCAAAAAAATATTGGTTAAGCGTTTATAAAGCAATCCATCACTTATTTTATACATCACTTCTGTGTGTGTCTCGAGTGTATTGAGTAAAAGCTGACAATTTCGTGACTGAGTGCTAATCAATTCAGGATTTAATTTTGATAAATATGTGCAAAAAGAGTAGCGCTTAGCATAACGTTAATGAAGGGCTTATTAAAGTTTTTTTAATTGAATATCTTATCTCTGATATAATATTAGAGATGTGTTCACCAAAAAAATATTGGTTAAGCGTTTATAAAGCAATCCATCACTACTTAATTAGCATTAATTTCTATTCTTAAAAATAAAAATTATTTGCCATAATATTAGAAATATATATCACATCAGCTCTAATCTTGATTAATGACAATTATCTGTTGGGAATAACAGTGTGTTTTGCAATCATTATTATTCAAATGTTTGAATATTTTGAGCCCAAAATATATTTCACTCTAAACCTTAAATTATGTTATTTTATAACCAATCGTAATTTCCACTGATAGCCGTTTTTGCTCACCTCTTATAATATTATGAGATTATTTAATCTGAAATTTAAATCTCTTTCCAAGCATTTAGTCTTTTGTGAGGCATTTAATTAAATTTCATTTTTCTATAATAACATCAAAACTGTAATGAAAGGTATTTTCTGAATGTCTGCTAATTTAGAGGCAAAAATTCACACACATTATTGCATTTGTCTTCAGATGAGACACACAATTGCTTTACGAGCGACTGATTTAAATGATTTAAGTCTATTAATCAGTAATTTGTTTAATGCTCACAACAGTACACATGAAATGTTTAATATAAATATATAAGAGCTTAGCATTCAATCGACGATTTAATACAATTATCATTGAATTCAATGAATGGACTGAAAAGAGAGGACAGAGTTTTGTTCACTCAAATCGCGTATCAATGCTTTGCAGTGAAGTGTCATTTGGGGCGCATTCCCATCGTATTGGCCCACAATGTTGTAAAACAAGTGCTTTTTTCTATACATCACTTTATTTGCTCTGTTTTTGATTGAAAAATCTATTTATAAAATCGATATTTAAATAACATTATAATAAGGTTTGAAAATATTCATAGAATGTAAATATCAGTTCATTTCTCTATGCATTTATAGTTTAAATTTTAATATTTGTGCTGAAAAATTACTGGCATTACTGGCATAAGACCATTAAAAATAAATTTCAAAAACATTTTACCCAATCATTCATTTTAAGTCAAACAATAAATTTTATACTAAAAACTTTTACGACTCATAAAAATATGTTTGGAATTTTGCTCTCAAAAAAAGAGTTTATGAATTTATATATGTATTTAATATAAGAAGTAAAGAATGTATGAAAATAAGAAATAATATATAATATAATATGATTTAATGTTTTGAATTGAAATCTAGAGAGAAATACACATTAAATAGAAAAGTAAAGTAAAATGTTTGAAAAGAGGCTTTGGTTTCAATTGTATGGAGAAATACCTGCGAATAAAGGGAAAGAATTTGCACAAAAAACTGTTTCTATTTCTATTTGCACTTTCATTAAAAACTTTTGTCGCATTCATCTCATTATCAAATGATTGCAAATAGTTTTCGAATTACTTCTGACATCAAAATTAAAAACCTTTTTATTTTCATTGATTTTTGTTACTTAAGGAAACGTTACAATTAATTTCCCTCTGACTCTCTCTCTCTCTCTCTCTCTCTCTCTCTCTCTCTCTTCAATGGCTTTCAATTGGTTTTTGGTTTAACATAAAAAGTAGTCATACCTTACGGTTCTGTTTGACTCGTTTTCTACAAATTCTCTTATTTTCTTTTCTCCTCTCACTATCTATTCAGTCGACTATATTTCTCATTACATTCAAGTCATAGTCGATCAGACATTTCCTTTACATTCAAGTTGTGTTCATCTCTAGACTCACTATTTTTGACCAAAAGAAGCTCTCATAACATCTAATCGCAAGAAGATCTCAAAATGTATAAAAACATTACGGGTTTCTGTAATACAGTGTATTATATAGTGTATGAATGTTGCGAAATGTACAGTAATTTTTGAATGTAGTTATAAATAGCATGTATTCATATTAGTTAAGCCGAGAAAGTCTATGTTGATGTCAGTAATGTACTGATGGTCTGGATATGCAATTTATTACATGACTTTGAGTTTATGGTTATTCTTACTGTATATGCGATGAAAGTAGGATTTCTATAGAGGTTTGAATTTTTCATAAATAAATTAAATGTACTCCAAATATGAATTATCATTTCCTTACATAACTTTAGGATATTTTTGTATCCGAAATGATTAGATGTCAAATAGTGTTAGATATGAATATAACATATTTATAATATCTAAATATTTTCTTTTTTATAAGTCTATGTTTATTCATAATTAATATTTTTATTGCCAAATAAAGTAACTATTAATTGAAACAAAATATTTACGACAAACAACACATAATAATATAAAACTTATAAAAAATAAATCATGTTTTTAAAGAAATAAAATAGATATATCGTATTTATTGTTATTGTATATAATAAATACCATTAATGTACTCAATAGAAGTACTATATGTATAAATGGTATCAATATTGTTATATTAAATTAAGTTTTAGTTGATATAATCAATAATGATAACTTCAGACTTAGGGCTAACGCTTGGAGTGTTGTTATATTAAATAAATAGAAATACATTTTCTATAAAATTAGTTATGTTTTTGTGAGCAAACCATTAGTTTAGATAAATATTATTATTAGTTCAATAAAATTCAAACGATTAAATCAGTTGTCAATTCAATGTGTATTACGTAAAGTGATGTAATGAATGGATATATTTGTCATTTTTATAACACAATTATTGAACTAAAAACTTATTTGAGAGAAAAACAGTGCCATTAGTGGAGAGGAGCACACAATCCAATAGTCCAACACATATTCAATACTATATGTAATACAATAATAGAGGAGAGGGAGGACTGGAGAGTGTATATAAAGTTGGGAAGAGTTGTGTAAATCGTATGAAATAAAAATGTCATAAAAGAGAGTGAACTCCAGTCGGGAATTAAAGTAAATGTCTGTTAATTTGAGAAAAACGAATGAATCGTGAATTTGAATACATTATATAAAAAACATAATAAAAGTGAAAACCGAAATGAAGTGTGTTTTGAGTGAAGATTGAAATGAGTGTTGAGATAAGAAGGGAGAGAGAGAGAGAGAGAACTATATAAGAAGTAAAGATAGTGATTATGAGCGCAGAGCTGGCGACTAAAAGAAAGAAATGTAATCGCCTTATAATCTCTACTCAATAATAAAAACCCTATTTTTTGCCGATTAGATAATCCTCTGACAACAAAATTCCTTATCGTTTTCTTTCGTTATTTTTCTTGTCGTCAAAACTGTTTGATTCAATGAAAGTAAGAGGCGGTGAATGACGTCTATATATAAGCCCATAACTAACCATCGGTGAAAAGTATTGGCATTCCAGTCATATTAACTTAATATAAAGACCATTATATGTCTGTCCACTTGTGTTTTACATTCAGCCAAATCGTTCACTTATTTTCTCACAGCAAAAGCCAATTGAAAAAACTGAAATGATTTCAATCTTTTTACGATACACTTAGCAATTGTGTTATAACGGGTTTTGACTTTACGTCCATAACAGACAAAATGTGCAAAACATTGACTTAGAGAGAGAGAGAGAGAGAGAGAGAGAGAGAGAGAGAATGAGACGACGACTGTGTACTCAATGCACTCAAAACTGTTCATAAAACACACGAAATGATGGATATATTGGTGTAATTTTAAAACACAAGAGAAAAGAGCTGAAAGTGAAGAGCTCTCGAGTGGATTCCAGTCCCTAAAACATTACAATCTAGAGATGAACTGAAAAACTTATAACTTATAGCTTATATTATACAAAAACAATATACTTTTCTTAAGTATTTTTATTGTATCGATATTTTTACGCTAAATTAGTCTCATTATTACTCGTATTGTGAAGTTAATGGAAAACAGCAAACGAACAAAAGTGAAAACAAAACAAAAAGAGAGTTTATTGTTATAACGATGGAATTTATTATAAAATAAAAACCATAATATAAATTAAGGCTTTTATAGTAAACCTTATCTATTGTTAGATCTGAGCGTTCGTTGAGATGTTTTTTTTCAGTAGAAAAAAGTCGACAAACAATTCACAAATGGAGTGAAATCTATTTTAATTAGGAAAACAGTCATTCATTGTAATGAAAGTGTGGCTCAAAACTAATCCTTTATTTATCTTTCTGTCAAAATTCAAACTACTGTTTGAAAAATACTGCGAAAACACTTTTCGCCGAAAGTCTTAATTCGCATTTGTTTTTAATGGCAAAACTCGTTATACGAATGCAGTATAAGACACATGAATGTCATTAAAAAGTTTTATCGATGCTATT